TGGTTGGGATGCATTTAGAGCTCAAAATCGGTTGTTCATGGTGGTTGGCAAAATTGAAGAAGATGGCATTTTCRTAAATATCTTGAGATCTTTTGGTTTTTGTGTATTTTCAAATATTTCCGAAATTAAAAAAAAAATCAGAATATAATGGCATTTTCGTGAATAAGTGGTGAGGAGAAGGATAAAAAAGGGAAAAAGTGGCAAAATAAGAGATAGGGGATATAGGGGTATAGGTTTGACATTGACCACAAATTGTGGGTTATTTGTGCAACTATCCCTATATTAATAGAGAAGTGATTAGCTTAGGTGTCATCTCCAGAATCATTCTCTCATTTTTATTATGACATGTCCTTGATAAAATATGACATGACAATTTGACTCTCTAATTAAGCCCACTGATCATAATTACTTAGCCCACTAAATTGACCATCAACGCCAAATTACTTAGCCCACTAAAGTTATAATAATTAAAATTATAGAACATTTTTATAGAATATATATATTTTTTTAAATAATAATAAAAAAATTACCAAATTTTTTAAAAGAGATTTTGATATGTTTGTAAATAAAAATTCCCAACTTTATAACAATAAATATAATTATTTTTTTTAAATATTTTTTTTATCGTAAGACAATTTGAAAGTAATAAAAACATTTTTTAATTCGAAAACATCATTTTTAACTGTATTTCATTTATAAAATTTATTATTATATATTTTAATGTTTTAAAATATCAAATAATTTATTTTTGTTATAAATTCTACTTAAGATATTTGGACAAACCAAATTTAACATGGTTTTTTTTTACTCTAATGTATTAAATTATTATACATTTTGATTTGACATGTTTACAAATATGAAATATTTTAATGGTAAAACTAAATTTATGAAATTCATATTATTAATAAAAACAATAGTATTGACAAAAAAAATTAACAACAAAAGAATTAACAACAATGTCTATAATAAAAATCAAAACAACTACATATTTCATATTTTAAAGATTAAAATTTTAAAATTAAACTATATAAATAATTTATCCGCGTGTACGCGGGAGAATCACCTAGTTTTAATTAAAACTACATTTTTAATAAATCTCCATTAAAAAGATTCAAAAA